TATATATATATAACTCCGAGGACATGACTAGTTTAAAAGGCGCAGCGGTTTTTAACCGGTAGATAATTTGAAGAAATTATCTCATTAAACAGCGTGACAACCGTGTTTCGGCACATATATAAGAATTGTGCTTAAATCCACTATAAACCCAAGTTAATTCATACACAAATAAAGGCTAAAATAATTGTAGCAAAAATGAATGAATCAACTGGAAGCCTTGTTGGTGAAAGCCTGTTCTCAAACCACTGGGTGGCGATAATTGTTTTATTTTCAAGCTCACCCTGCTCTGTAAAAAGGAAGATATGTTTCCAACATGGCATACATATTTATCTATATATCTCTTAAACGAAACCCACTCTAAAGTGTAATGGTAATGTTGGCATGTTAAAACTTTTCATCGACTTTCTTGATTTCTCTTTACTGGAACACGTGGGATTAAAAACAGTGAGTTACCTGGTTTCCCTTTTTGAATAGCCTGCTGTTTGTGTGATTTGCATAGTGATCAATGGTTTCTGCATGCTGCAGAGGTCAGGAGGAAGAGGATCTGTTCTATTCGTGTCTTTTGCAGCACATCTTGATAACTCACATTTCCAGGAGGGGAGTTTTAGAGCAGGTGTTTATAAAAACTTTATGATGTAGGTAGAGGCTGTGTTGTGTTGTCAGCATAAATAGTCAGAAGCATTCACTGATGGATCAGGTTTGTTGTTGTTCTTGATGATGTGTAGTTATTAATTTTAAGAAGGAATGCTGTTTTTGAGCTCGTTGCAGTTCCCAGATAGCAGCCCCTTGCTTTTTTTTAAAGAGATGTATCCTGGCACAGATCTTTCTGAGTGAAAGTGAAAGAAACATAAAGCGTCTTAGGAGTCTTTATTATTGGTAGGAAACGAAGTATATTTCTTATGTGAATGTGCTTTTAAATGTTGGAGCTAAACCCAGACGGACATGAGAGTATTTGCAGCGGTGTGGGCACACACTTTGTTCTGCGCTGTAATTTATTATGAATGGCCTAAACTCGTCTGCCCCATCCACGTGGGTGTGGATCTCGCGCTCCTATTGGCTGACGTCAGCGGGAGCTCTGCTGTGATTGGTCGAGCTGCCGCGGTGGGCGGTTTTTTTTTTAATATTTTATCTGGACCGTAGAAGTGGTGTAGTGACAATGTTAATTGTCGAGACTTTGCAGGGGCCGCCTCGTAGGTAGGAGAGCTCAGCGAGAGCCTCTCCCGTTTCCAGCCCGAACAAGGAGGCTCGCAGCTCCGGACCATGTGCTCTGATCAAAACCCTGTGAGACATTCAAGAGGAATTCTGTTTTTTTGTTGGTTTTTTTTGTAACCAGACCTTTTTAGGGTTTTTAAAGAGCGCTCGTGACGTTTTGTGGCATTAGCTCGACTATGTAGCATTTCGGAAGCTGGATAAAAGCAACAAGAAGAGAAGAATAAAGAAAGAAGGGAAGATAATTTGGTTTCCTGGATGTTGTCATGACCGGAGAGGACTTGTTCTGACTGAGAGGTGCTGAGTGAAAGGAAAAAAAGAGAGGGAGAGGTTTCTGAATGCCGCCGTTGATTTGCAGGCAGCGCGAGGGACGCTAGTCGAAGCGGCGGGATCTGTTTCACCTCCTCCTCCTCCTCCTCCTCTTCCTCACTGCTCGTCTTGTCTCCCTGCCCGCCCCGCCGCCGTCCCTCTCCCTGACCACAGGTTATCGGATGGACCAGCATCCCAGCGCCCGGAGCTGCACCAGTCGCGGGGCTTCCTCCTGCAGCGAGGCCGTCCCGACCGAACCGTCCATGAATCTGTACATCCACACCACCACCAGCACCCGCTTCGAGCTCTCCCTGCCCTTGGAGGAGACCGTGGAGGGACTGAAGAGGAGGCTCTCGCAGAGGCTCAAAGTACCGAAAGAGAGACTCGCTCTGCTGCATAAAGAAACGTGAGTGAAATATTTCCCCCCTTTTTTATATATAAAAAAAAGGTTGAAATGTTGCTCTAGACCATATGCAGACTTAAAAGTGGATCAAATAGCACGCATTGTTTGTAAATCAAACATGCTATGCATTGATGAGAATACTGCACAGTGTTTTAACATGTAGGAGMATGATGCTTCAGTTTCTCCTTGTGAGGTCAGCTGCTCTTGCAGCTGCCTTGGCTGAAGGGATTGTTCTATRTTATGTCATTTAAACGAACCGAAACCTACAAATCCCAAGTGAATCAGGTTGAGTTTAAATGGTGTAGGTGGTGGTGTTAAAAAACAAACGAATAAATAAAAATAAAGAGAGAAGGGAGACTTTATCGTACATGCAAACAGTCTGCATTGTTTTTCTCCCCTCCCACTCACTGTAATAACCCTATAAATCACATCATCTAAAACCTGAGTACCTCCTTTTAATCTTTCCCCCCCCTTGCGTGTCATACTGTAGACCCACAGCGAGTCAGGGCTGATGGCCTTTGTTCAGCTGCACGGGGGTGAGATCTGGGTCATGCCTGCGGAGCGAGGCTTGTCCGAAACATCTTCTGCCTAATCTTAAAGGAAGAAGAGATCCAGACGTAGATGTGAGCGTTCTAGACCAGAAGCTGCGGTGCCGGTAACCCTAACTGTTCTGCACCGAACACAAGAAAACCCCAAGCAGTATTTTATTACGTAGTGTAAGATAAAAGCCAGCTGCTGTAAAATGTTACAGTTCAACTGTACAATAAAAATACCAATTATCTAAATGTTCCATAAATGTGTTTTTTTTTAAATAATTTGATGCACTTTCGGCTTCTCGTTTGCACAGCCAGGAGAAAATACTTCTTYCCTCCACTTAGGCAAGTGGCAGTGGTGCCAAATATCCACTGCGWACACTTGTCAAGCTCCACTACACTTGAAATTGAAAAATGACAGCCCAATCAATACTTCTCTTTCATGAAGCTTTTCACCCACGGCTCTTTTCCAAACTAGTTTTGAAGTCTGCCTGCTCCCCCACCACCACCGCCGCCGCTTCTCCTCCTGGCTGACGCGTGTTTGTGTGTGTCTGAAGGAAGCAGATACTGTCAGCACAGTCTAATTATCTCGTTCTGTCTCACTCTGCAGGCGACTAAGTTCAGGCAAACTCCAGGATCTGGGCATCTCTGATGGGAGCAAGTTAACACTTGTACCAACAGTCGAAGCAGGATTAATGGTAAGATTCGTGTTCTCGCTCTTTGTCTTCTACTCGGAGGTCAGAGCTGATCCGAAATGGAAAACTACAATGGTTATTGTTTCACGTGCATGATACTGTGCATGTTCTTAATGAAGCTGTTAATCTATTTTTTTTTTGATGATTTGCAGTCTCAAGCATCAAGACCAGAGCAGTCAGTAATGCAAGCGTTGGAGAGTCTAACAGAAACTCAGGTGAGAGTTTTGCTTCTCTGTATTACAATGGTTCTGATGTCTGAACAGTTTTGTTTTTCTTCAACTCTTTTATGCATCTTCGTTAAACAGAGACCTCATTAGTTGCAAAGCATCGACAAGCAAAGTGACATAGGTGTGATGCTGCGCAAGTGTCTTGGTTTCTTAAAATAGAGAAGTCATAGATTCATTGTGTTGCTGTTGGAATATAAAAGCAGCAGCGCCTTCATGTACACTAATAATGTCTGCAATACTGTGRGTGCATGTGTTTGTATTGGTGTGTGGACAGATTTTGACATTTGAGAATGTTTTGTTGTGTGGACATTTACCTCCTGGTTCACACGATGGAAAAAAAACCATTTGTGTGTCGGGGTTAGGTTTAGGGCTATGGTATGAATAAAGATTAGGGTTAGATATGTAACTGATAACGTGTGTCGTGTGGTTGTGATTAGGGTAAGGGGTCAGGGTTAGGTTGTTGAAATGAATCGTAAGTCACTGCAAAATCCACACAAGCATGGAGAGACAAGTGTGTATGTGTGTGTGTTGCTGCAGGGAGAAAGGTACAAAATGCAAGACAGGCCTGTTTGTGAGGTGATGAGAGGGCCAATATATACTTCCACCTTTCTGTTTTTACCTTTTATCTGCAATCTCTTTCCACTCCTTCTATATTTCACTGACTGAGACACACACACACACACACACACGCGCGCACACGCACACACACGCACACACAAGTTTCCAGGAAGTGTGCTGCGGCTTGCATGGAGTCTGAGTATACCGTAGCCTCTCTCACTCATAAACAGAGTGCTGGATCATCAGATGACCGCCTTCTCACTCAGTATTAGCACAGGGTTCCTGGAAGCCTTGCATACATAAACAGCCCAGTTTGGGTCTTCACCCTGCACTCACAGCGAAATAGCTTTGCTTAAATATGCTATGCATTTGAGTCAGACGACATGACTCATCAAAATGATCAATTGTGAGAGCAAAGCGATAGAAAAAAAAAGGGTTTCACACTGGCTGCAGAGAGAAACAGCAAGAAGCGAGGTGATCAGGCTGAGTTCACTTACACAACATTATGACGTACGAAGGACTCTGCAGCTGACTGACTGACTCATATCAACTTCCTCTTAATAACTTTGGCTACTGCGGTGTTGTACGTAACTGCAACGGATCTACGTTGCTGATTGCTGTCAACATAGTACAAGATGGTGAAAGCATGCATTGGTGCAAAGAGTTGGATATGATGGATAATGTGCATTTAGTAAAAAAACACATATAAATAAAATATAATCAGAATATGGSCAGCTTGGAGATATCTGGTGTGGTTCTGTATGGCCTCGCTGATAAATTTCTGGTGGAAATCCTGGCCTTGTTGTGTGTGTGAACTCAGCATGTGCCTCGTAGCACTGACAGCAGATGACTGCATGTGTGTAGGTGTGTGTGTGTATGTGTGTCAGTGTTCGTGTGTGTCACAGTGTCCGTGGGCTGGAGGCAAGCCTTGCCCATCATGTGGTACGTCTTTGCTGGGCAGCCAAGAGTGACTGTTTTTTTTTTTTTTTTTTTACCGGAGGCAGATGATAATTCAACCACCGACCCTGAAGAGTGAATTTCTTCCTCTGCCTTCCTTCCTGAGCCTCTCTGTGGCCACATACCCATCTTCATTATGACTCCAATGCATTTTTCTTTTAATTTCTCAAAAATTTCTTATCACACATTATCACAAACATCACTTCCTCATTCATATTAGTTTCATTCATCATCTTTTGAAAAGAAGTAGATAAGGGGGACGAAGGGCATAGTGGGTTCAAATAACATCATAAAGCTGCTTTAGTGTGTTTATATCCAAAGAAATTGATTTTCTTTTTATAATTCATGATGCGAAATGGAATGATATAGATTGCAGGGAGATTACTGATCTGAGTAAGATTAGAAAATTGAAACACAAAAGCTTTTCTTCATTTCCTTTCTTCCCCTCTAACTCTGGGACTATCAAAAATCAATCAGTGCACTTAGCTCTTAAAAGTGCCTGACACTGTAACCGATACGCCCGAACACCCAAAAATAGCGTCTGGGAGAATTGGGGTGGTTCTTGGTAGCGGTAGTCATAGATGAAGTGGTTATAAAACCCCCGGACCCTCTAATAAGCACTTACCTCTTCAAACGTCTTTGGTTATGCGAGGTCTCATTTCAGGATTGAGTGTTTTTTCCAGGAAGTGCGTGTTCATGGAATACTGGGCAGAGCAGATCTCCTTATGTCTTCTCCTTTATCTGGATTAAATGTCCTCAGCTACCAGCTAGCTCACAAACCAGCTTGCATTGCTCCCTCAGGCTTTTGTGTTGCGTTAGGGGAGGGTGGGGGTGGGGGGGGGTGTTTTATGGAAATTGAGTCCTGGCAATTATTGAAATTGCAATTTTTTTTCTCGGTCTCCATGTGTCCCCCTTTTCGCCTCCTTTCTTTCTGGTTTCTGTTTTAACAGCTCTCCTAGGGCATAGTCATTTAAATATGCTGTGGTTTGCAAGTTTGACTGTAGCTGCCTCTGTTTGACCACGTTGGCTAGTTTCTTTTAGCTGTCTTAATTCTGTTTCACTAGACTTTTTGCATGACATCTAAGCTGTATTAAGCCACTGACTCATGACAGCCTGTCAAAATGCACTTGCACGCTCTGCTTTCTTCTTGTTCTGTCTGTTAAATAGACGTTGTGTGTACAGCTTATATTTACACTCACGCTGGCGCCCCAGAATTGAAAGGATGTACTTAAGAGGATTTCTGATCCTGACGAGAGAATGAGGAAAATGTCTGAACCTAATAACAAAATAGATGCTCGTATGACACGCGGAGAAGTAAAATAAAGGCAATATTTATATTTTGTGCACATGTTTGTAGTGACGTCGTTTCCTCGTCTATTGATCACAGCTGACAGAAACAGAAAGGCCGTCTTTCTCTGCACACAAGGACTGTTTGCTCATTGACGCCGTTGATGCTAGAATAAAAGCCGACCAGGCAGCCAGGCATCACCCCACCCCTCCAACTACCCTTCCCCCATTCAGCCATCTCTTTGTTTCTGTCTTAAAGCATCAGCACCAAACCTGCCCAGCTGACAAACCCTTTAAACCACACAGAGATGATTGAAGGTCACTCTTTAGGTTCAGCTCTTCCCCCATAATCCTCCTCCATCGTCTGTGCATCCATTGGCTCCAGTTATACATGCTAGAAAGGTGCAACCTGGTTTAAAAATCAATGCGCTGCCCAGCTGGAGTGAGGCTCAGCAGGCTGCAGATTGACAAATTTTGCCTTGAACACTAACACAGATTGCTGTGGGAGGAGGAGGCTGTGTGTTGCCATTCCATACATCCCCGTGGAATATGCCGTTGCATATCTGCTCTACTTTCCTAGCTCCCACTGCCAAGCTCCCCCTTCCCCCTGTTTTCTCCTTATCTTCTTACGCGTGCAACAACAGTCCCGGGTGAGGCTCAGCTTTGCCGTTGTGTCTACAAGCAGACAGATGCAAACTAACAGGATCTAGCAATCTGTCGGGAGTCACCAGTGAGTCACACTTACCTCATTTCCTGTGTTCTGCATCTCTCAGGGGATGCCGCAGTAGGTCTGACAGGTGGAGGGGAAGAAAAGGAGAGCGTTGGACCAACATGCCCAGTAATCCTCGTATGTTGGTGAAGAAAGGAAGACTTATGATTTTAGGAAACCTGTAGATGAAAGGATGCCAACAGATGAAGAATAATGTAGTTTGGTCTGTGTGTACCTGAGCATCTCTGACTATGGACATAAAACGGCTCTATGTTATTGGTCAATACGTTTCTCATTCCGGTCCTGCCGCCTGTGCACCAACTTATGTACATGCTACTAATCAGCAGTATCGGCACTGCCGGAAATTATTAGAAAGGATTTGAAAATGCAAAAGCATGAAAAATGACCGAGTTGGTCAAATGGTCATTGTGATAATATCCTCCCCTCTTTTATAGCACACAGCTATTTGTGTTATTGACACAAGAAATAAAAGCATTTTATTTGCATGCAGCTTACAAGATGGGGTCTTTGCTCTTTAGAATGGAAATCTCCCTTCTTTGTTGCTTCAAAGAAAGCTACAGAAATTAATTTGTTACTGAATGTCTAAATTAAATTGTGTACAAAGGAGAAGACAAAGCTGATCTAAAGGCCTATTCAGTCCTTATTCATGTAAATCCTGGTTTTGAAAATTGCATTAATAAGCTGATCATGCAGTATTTCTGCACCTGTGTAATCCCCTTTGTGATGCTTAAACACACAGTTGGACGGGGACGCTGGAATGGGCTTAGGGAACCAAGGTGTGTGGTGGGCCAGTCAAGAGAGAAAGATGGATTTTGCAGCTGATTTCATTGTCCTGTTGTTTAAATGCATCTGGTTGCAAGGGTGTATGTGGGCGTACACATGTGCCAACATCCATTTTTAATGTCTGTATCTTTGTGTGTTCCCTCGGTGAGCGGCCAGGGAGTCTGATTTGTCTGTATTTGAGTCGTGGCCATCATTGTTTTCCATGCCTCTGTGACACAGTGCTTTTGTGATTCAAGTAGCAGGCATCGTGACTAGTGGGGCTACAGCGTGGGAGGATGGAGGCCAGTAATATCATGTCTGATGGCCACCACCAGAATCTAATGAAGTCGGTCAGGATTGTGGTCTAGATGGAACAAAAAGGCAGCAGGGACAAAAAGGGCCGCAGTTAACAAAATAAATAAGCAGCAGGAAATAGTTTTCTTTACGTGTTAATCTATTTCATACCTGCCTACCATTCCCAAACTGTTTGCATTCACTCACTTTGTCTCCAACAGATAAGGTTTTCTCTTCTTATTTTTCCTATACAGCATACGTTGTTGTATTTACAAATATTTTTCTTCCCGAGTATAAAAAAAAAAGTGTTGTGAAATTGTTTCACATGGAATCCTAGTTATTGTGTATTAATCAGCTGGTGTAAAAAAACCATAAGGATGTGAGAGTAGTTGTGAGCTGA